TAATGTATTAGTTTTTTTCAATAATAATTTTTAATTTTTAAAATTGTCAATTAATACATATTATTGTTTTCTCATTAATTTTAGGTAGTATGTTTTTAAATGAAAACTACATTAGTTTACTATATGCTGATTACGGTCCCGCTTGGGAAGCATTGAGACGTGTAGCGCAATCGGCCGCACAGTACGTATTATATATATATATAAAATATATAAAATCGGTCGAAAAATATAGTGATTTTTATACATTTATATTATATGGGCACCGGTAGTCTAGCTTAGGGATTTATGATATCTAAAAAACTAAAAGAGCCAATAAAATTCTAATTTATGCTAATTAATATGTGTGTGTATGTGTGTGTATGTGTGTGTATGTGTGTGTATGTGTATGTGTATGTGTATGTGTATGTGTATGTGTATGTGTATGTGTATGTGTATGTGTATGTGTATGTGTATGTGTATGTGTATGTGTATGTGTATGTGTATGTGTATGTGTATGTGTATGTGTATGTGTATGTGTATGTGTATGTGTATGTGTATGTGTATGTGTATGTGTATGTGTATGTGTATGTGTATGTGTATGTGTATGTGTATGTGTATGTGTATGTGTATGTGTATGTGTATGTGTATGTGTATGTGTATGTGTATGTGTATGTGTATGTGTATGTGTATGTGTGTTTAAATCATAGTATAAAATTAATATATGATAAATTCATACAAATAAAAATGTTTTTTACTAATTATTTTAAAATATATGATATATTTATAGAAAGTATTCAACAAATGAGGAGTTAGTAATAGTTGCCGTAAATTCTGTGGAAAAAATAGTCCAAACAATGTTGAAAACAGAGGGACCGGACAAACCTATTGAACCATTTAATTACATATATCTTATGTTTTTAAACATTTTGGCTAACAGTGCTTTTGGAGAAAAGTTTGTATATTATTATATATATATATATATTATATATATTAAACAATAATACTTGTGCTTATATATGTGCTTATCTGTACAATATATATATTTTTAAAAATTAATTTTAATCATATATAAAATAAATATTTATTCTATATATAATATATTTATATTTATATAAAGATATCACAAAATTATCATGATACAATTTATATATTAGAATTTATATTAAATAAAAATAATATATATATATATTATATATATTATTTAATATATTATTATATATATTTAATATTTAAATTAATATTAATATTAATATATTGTATCATGAAAATTTTATATATATATATTTATAGCTACGATATGGATGATCCGGAATTTATATTTTTAAAATATATATTACGCGATGCGTATGAGGAAACGCAATCAAATTATTTTATACGTGAATTGTCGCCAATCGTACAACTAATGGATTATAAGACAACCGGAAAAGCGCGTAAACTAATGGGTCAGACAATCGACCTAATGGTCCGTAAATTTCAAAAACATTATACCGATTATAATCCCGATTATGATCGGGATTTTTGCGATGCACTTATATCGGCCAAAAACGATCAGTTGCGCGATGGCCGCGAATCGGCCAAATATCTGACCGATAATAATCTGGCGATGACTGTGTTTGATATGTTTTTTGCCGGTACCGATACCTCACAGCAAACATTTCAATGGCTGCTATTGTTTTTGGCGTACTATCCGTTAATTCAACAAAAATTACGTCAAGAAATTGATGATACTATTGGTGACCAAATGCCCAAACATGCGGACAGACAGCGTATGCACTATACTATGGCATTCATATCGGAAACATTGCGCTACCGTAATGTCGCCCCCTATGGCCAACCACACAAGGCTATAGTTGATAGTCAAATAGGTATTGAAAAAATTAAATACTTTTTATTATAATATTTGTATAATACTATCTGAGATAATAATATAATATGATATATAATTAGATAATAATATTGATTTCTATTTGAATTGAAATTATAAACTATTCAATAACTTTATATATATATATATATATAAAGTTGTGGAAGGTTTTCGATCTCATGGGTGGTATAGGGGGGTAAAATTGCAAAAATTTGAAATAGACTGGGGTATAGAGGGGTGAACAATTTTTATTGAATTTTTAAACGACAATTTTTATTCAAGTTTGTGTAAATTCCCACTAAATTTCCATTAAATTCACATTTAATTCATATTAAATATAAATAAAATTCCTATTAAATTATCACTTAATTTAAATTAAATTCCAATTAAATTCCCTATAAATTTTACATAAATTTTCACATAAATAACCCCAAAAAAAGGAATTACATTAATTAAAAAAAAATCGAGATTTGAATTAAGATTTTAAACAATTCGATGACTTTATATATATATATTATACAAAAATATATCGAATTCATTATTAGTATCTAACTATAAATCGAAATCATTTTTATATTATTATTATTATTAATCATTTTTAAATTTATAAAAAATCAATCAATCATTTACTGATTAAACTGTAATAATTCTAATTAATTTATTTTTTAAAAACTAAAGGAAATTATAAAATACCTAAAGGACAGACAGTTGTATTTTATCAGTCAATATCGTTACGAAATACCGATGAAAAATACTGGACAAATGGTTTAGATTTTCTACCCGAACGGTTCATTGATAAGGACGGCCACTATCAGACCGCCGGACATCCGGCTTATACACCCTTTGGTGTCGGACGTCGTTATTGTTTGGGCGAAAAACTAGCCATCGCTGACCTGTTTCTAGTGTTGGTCTGTTTTCTACAGTCGACCCGCAATTACGATATTATTTTAGATGACCAGCAAAATGGCGGCGTCGGTTTGGATACTAATCTAGTGGAAGTTAGTCCACATAATTATCGTATTATTTTGAAAACTAAAAAATAATGAAAAATTTTAGTATAAAATTTAAGATAATTTCTTTTTTTTTGGTTAAAATTAAATGTGTTTTTTAAATCTTTTATTATTATTTCTTCATTATATAAAAATCAATTCAATTATAAGTAAAAATTAAGCCATGTTTTCAATAATAAAATATAAAATTTTGTTTTTTAATTGAATTTTTATTATTATCTATTAAATTATCATATTTTTATAGTTAATACTGTTCATATACTGTATATGTATGTATGTATGTATGTATGTATCAGGGTTAATTAAGGGGGGTAGGGGGTAAGGCCAAACTACCCCACCTAAGATCGAGATTTTGGGATATTAACCCCCAAACTTTTTGACAAAATGGGATTAATTGTCGCTTAAAAACGAGGAGAAATGACCCCCCCTAAAATTTCGGTGCCGAAAGCGCCAAAATTTTTTTTAAGTTTTTAAAAATTTTATTTTTAATTAAAACTATTTTAGCATGTGATTTTATGTTTATTTAAATTTATATGAATCTTATTATTGATTAAAAATAAGTAAAAAAAAATTAAAATAAAGTTAAAACTCATCTAAAAATAACATAATTTTTATTAAAATATTAAACTAAAAAATTAAAATTTACCTATTTGTTGAAAAGAGTAAGCATATTACAATTTAAATATAAGATTATGATAGTTTAAGAAGTTAATAAAACGATAAATACTTATATTACAAGGTTTTTATTAATATTTTTTAAAATTTTAACTAAAAAATTTTCAATTTTTTTATTAGAATTCAGCCAGTATTTATATAAAAATATATATCTATAAACTATAAACTAAACATTAAGTATTATTTAAAAAATTAATTATTTTAAATGTTAAAAATTACTAAAATACTAAAAAACTCATAATGTATCATTAATGCTTTTATCAACTATTTTTAAGTATTAAAAACATTATTATTTTATTTTTTAATAAAATTTAAGTTTTTATTAATTTTTAAGTTTTTTTTGTATTTTTGGAAATTTTACCTATTTTCCTGGAAATTTATACGGTATCTTATGCCCCCCCTAAAATCCAAAACCTTGTTTAACCCTGGTATGTATGTATGTATGATAATTATATATTTTATAAGTATAATATAAGTTATTTAAGATTTTTATTTTTTAATAAATGATAATACTTTAGTTAGATTTTATGTTTTCAACAATAAATTATATATATATAGATATATACTGTACAATAAAATTATTATAAATGTGTACTAATTGATAAATATAATTAATACTAGACTACTGTAAAAAAATTGTAATTTAATTTTTATATCAACAACAAAAATATTTTAAATTAATATTAGGAAATAATTAATACAAGTATAAGAGACATGTTATTTTATTTTAATTAAAAAATGTAAAATCATTTATACGTTTTTCAATTAGTTAATATTAATGAATAATTATAAATATTTAAAGATATTTAATAAAATATTTTATATTTACAAAAAATTTGTTTAGTTTAATGTAAATGTAATATTTTAACTTAAAATTTGATTTAAAAAAAACATTTTTTATTGCTGTTATTTTTTGAATTAATAACTAGTAATAGTTATTAATTTTAAATAATTTTTTTATTAAAATATTTTAGACTAAATACAAAATATTTTATTTATTTATTTTTTTCATTGAAAAAATAAATATTTTTTTTTTTAAATTTATTTAAATATAATACACAAGTATATTAAAAAAAATAATATAATAATATTTATTTAGTTCATTCATAATAAAACACTAATAAATTACTAACAATTACTAAGCAAATAAATTATTAATAGTAATAAATAATATATAAATATTTAATTTATTCAAAAGTTTATTAAATAGGTTTTTAATTTTTTTTATATTTATGCGAAAGAATTTTTTTTTTGTTTTTTTAAAAAGCAAAGTTGTAATTTGAATTCTAGATTTTTGTCCGTCCGATCAGTTTGTCCTAAAATTTTGTTTGTTTTATTTAAATATGTTAAAGATTACAAACTTTTTAAATAAAAAAAACTAAATTAAATATTTATAGAGTATCCAAATTGTCAAAATTGTTGAATCACTTTAGGAAAATTGATTTACAAAAAAATGGCGTCAAAAGTTAAAATATATCTATTTTTCTATAAAACGTTTAAAATTGTTTTGTACTATATTTTAAAAACACAAAATGGCTATAAAATTATTTTATTTTTAAATAATCTAGATTTAAAAATTTTATATTTTATTTTCAATTAATTTTAGTTAAAATGTTGGAAAAAATTATTATTATTGATATATGATAATTAAGATTATAATTACTATAGATTTTCATTTATGTGTTTATCTATTGTATTAATTAATATATTATTACATTAATTCAATTTATGTGTGTCTTTACTGTATGGTGATGAAGTTTGTATGATAATGCTATCTACCATTCTCAACTGGTAGATATAGTTGTATATAATTAAATAGACATAAAAATTTTTTTATTATTATTTATAAACTTAACAGTACTATACAGTAATTTTTTTTACATTTTATTTTTTTAAGTATAATATTATTATTAATAATAATAATATGTCTGTAATATTAAGTCAATTGTTTGATATTTTATCAACAAATATATTGTCAATAATTTTAGGACTATTATCCGGTTATGTAATCTACAAATTGATACAATTTTATTTAGGATATTATAGTCTACCTCCCGGTCCGTTTCCATTGCCTATTGTAGGAAATATATTGTGTAAGTTTTTAAAATTAAAATAAACTATTATTGTCTCTCTGTCTCTCTGTCTCTCTGTCTCTCTGTCTCTCTGTCTCTCTGTCTCTCTGTCTCTCTGTCTCTCTGTCTCTCTGTCTCTCTGTCTCTCTGTCTCTCTGTCTCTCTGTCTCTCTGTCTCTCTGTCTCTCTGTCTCTCTGTCTCTCTGTCTCTCTGTCTCTCTGTCTCTCTATATATGAAATATATTAATAAAACTTCTATTGTTTTAATTTCCATATATTTATAATTAATAAATAGTGTCTTGATTTCCAACTAAAAAAATTATTTTGTCGGTTTAACGCTTATAACTGGGAATTAGTATGTCCACCGAAGTTGACCAGTGGACGCTATTTCCAAAATTTTATTATAACTATAAATAACTATTTGTTAGGTTAGCAACTATAAAAACTTATAAATAACTATTTCAGTTATTTTGAAAAATATAAGCATTAAATTGTAAAATATTGCACAAATATATGTAAAAACAAAAAGTAATAGTTAAATAAATTATATAAAATGTGTAAACTGTTATCAACTCATATTACTTTTTTAACAATAGAAATATTTAGTTTATTTATATAAATCATTTTTGTAAATATGCTGAACACAAGTGAATTATATATCAGTTGAAATATTTATAAGAAAATAAATAACTATTTTAATAACTATTTGGCTTTTTTGGCAACTATATACAACTATTTAATACAGTTTAAATAACTATTTTAATAACTATTTGGCTTTTTTGGCAACTATATACAACTATTTAATACAGTTTAAATAACTATTTTAACAACTATTTGACGTTTTTTAGCAACTATTATAACAACTATTTAATAGAGTATAAAAAATTATTAATCAATACACTATTAATTAATTAATTTTTTTGCATTTAAAAGCATTTAAAGGTAACCACTATTATGACGATATATTACGAAACTGGTCCAAAAAGTATGGACCAGTTTTTACGTTTTATATATTAGACAAACCGCTAGTGATTATCACTGATCCAGATATGGCTAAAAAAGCGTTTCAATCAAAAGATTTTTCCGGACGTATGAAAACATTTACCGGTAAATAGAATTTTTTTAATTAATTCAAAAAATTTGTTAATTTATTTTTAATTAATTTGTCAATTAATATTTTTTCTCATTAATTTTAGCAAGTATATTTATAAACTATACTAGTTTACTATATACTGATTACGGTCCCGCTTGGGAAGCATTGAGACGTGTAGCGCAATCGGCCGCACAGTACGTATTATATATATATATATATATATATATTAAATATGTGTGTATGTGTGTATGTGTGTATGTGTGTATGTGTGTATGTGTGTATGTGTGTATGTGTGTATGTGTGTATGTGTGTATGTGTGTATGTGTGTGTGTATGTGTGTATGTGTGTATGTGTGTATGTGTGTATGTGTGTATGTGTGTATGTGTGTATGTGTGTATGTGTGTATGTGTGTATGTGTGTATGTGTGTATGTGTGTATGTGTGTATGTGTGTATGTGTGTATGTGTGTATGTGTGTATGTGTGTATGTGTGTATGTGTGTATGTGTGTGTAATAATTCATACAAATAAAAAATGATTTTTAATTAATTATATTAAAATATATGATTTATTTATAGAAAATATTCAACAAATGAGGAGTTAATAATAGTTGCCGTAAATTCTGTTGAAAAAATAGTCCAAACAATGTTGAAAACAGAGGGTCCGGACAAACCTATTGAACCATTTAATTACATATATCTTATGTTTTTAAACATTTTGGCTAACAGTGCTTTTGGAGAAAAGTTTGTATAAATTATAATTAATATTATTATTAAATTATATACTGTATATATATATAATTTATATTGTATATTATAAATAACTTAACAAATATTTTTATAATGTTTTAGTTTATAAAAAAAAATATTATATATGAAACAATAATAAGATATGTACCACCACAAAATTATCATGATACAATTTATATACTGTATATATATTAGAATTTATATTAAATATTAAATAAAAATACTACTATAAATATATTTAATAATTTATTATTATTTTAAATATTTAATTTAATATTAATATAATGTATATATATATTGTATCATGATAATTTTGTGGTACATATATATATATATATATATATATAACATATTGAATAGATATATAGATTTATATTGTATATAAATAAATAAAATTTATTGTAAAAATTATATTGTACAGATAATGTGCTAGTACATATTTAAAAATGCCTTGTTATTGTTTGATATATAATGTTTTTAAAAAATAAACTAAAACATTATTAAAAATATTTGGTATGTTATTTATATATATATATATATATATATATATATTTATTTATTTATTTATAGCTACGATATGGATGATCCGGAATTTATATTTTTAAAATATATATTACGCGACGCTTATGAAGAAACGCAATCAAATTATTTTACGCGTGAATTGTCGCCAATAATACAGTTAATGGATTATAAGACAACCGGAAAACAACGTAAACTAATGGGTCAGACAATCGATTTAATGATCAGAAAGTTTAATAAACATTACACCGATTATAATCCCGATAGTGACCGGGATTTTTGCGACGCACTTATATCGGCCAAAAATGATCGGCTCAGGGAAGGCCGCGAATCGGCCAAATATCTGACCGATACTAATCTGGCGATGACTGTGTTTGACCTGTTTTTTGCCGGTACCGATACATCCCAACAAACATTTCAATGGTTACTATTGTTTTTAGCGTACTATCCGTTAATACAACAAAAATTACGGCAAGAAATCGATGATACTATTGGTGACCAAATGCCCAAACATGCGGACAGACAGCGCCTGCACTATACTATGGCATTCATATCGGAAACATTGCGCTACCGTAATGTTGCCCCCTATGGCTTACCACATAAGGCTATAGTTGATTGTCAATTAGGTATATCAGTATAAAAAAAACATTATTATTATTATTTATTTTTTAAAAAATTTAAAAAATTATAAAATACTTGTTATTATAATATCCGTATAATCAAGCAGTACTAGCATTTCGATTTCGATCTTAAATGAGATAACAATAGTAATAACAATGATTTCGATTTGAATTGAGATTCTAAACTGTTCGATGACTTTATATTTTTATATATATATATATATTCTATATTAAAAATATCGAATTATATTACTCATCGAAGTTGTATATTATTATTATGACTATTTAAAATCGAAATTATTTTTAGTCTTATTATTTTACTTCACAAATCGAAATCATTATTATATTATTATTAATATTATCTCAGTTTTAAAATTTTTATAAAATTTTTTTTTCCATCTTTTAAAAACTAATTAATTAATGATAAAACTATAAATTATACTTAAATTATTTTTTTTAAATTTTTGGTTACTATTTTTTTTTGTTGTTAAAAATCTAAAGGCAACTATAAAATACCTAAAGGACAGACAGTCGTATTTTATCAGTCAATTTCGTTACGAAATACCGATGAAAAATACTGGAAAAATGGTTTAGATTTTCTACCCGAACGGTTCATCGATAAGGACGGCCGCTATCAGATCGCCGGACATCCCGCTTATACACCCTTTGGTGTCGGACGTCGTAATTGTTTGGGTGAAAAACTAGCCATCGCTGACCTGTTTCTAGTGTTGGTCTGTTTTCTACAGTCGACCCGCAATTACGATATTGTTTTGGATGACCAGCAAAATGGTGGCATCGGTTTGGATACTAATCTAGTGGAAGTTAGTCCAAATTATTATCGTATTATTTTGAAAACTAAAAAATGATGAAAAATTTTTTTGTCTGTATTTTAAGGGTTTTTTGTTCAATTTTTATTATTTTAAATAACTATAATATTTAAAAAAAATAAAATATTGTAATTGAAAACAAATTTCCCGGTTCTTATGATTTTAAACCTAATAATAAAATTAATAAATAATTTAACAAAAAAGGCATCTGTTTTTTAAAAAAATATATAAATTTAGTAAAAATAAAAATATGATATGAAATAATATTGTTTATTAACATTCAAAAATTAATTAATAAAAAGCATATAAAATAATAATATTTTTTTTAATTAAATATACAATATACAATATAAATATATATAACAATAGTTACAAATATATCATTACAATTTATATATTATTAAAGATATATGTAAACTTTATGATACATTTTATTTATTTAAAGATATATTTAATAATTTGAAAAAAAATTTAAAAAATAATTAATAATATTAGATGTAATAATAATAGTTTTGTGTAGTATATAATATATACTACAATGTTATCACTAATCATAGGATAATACTATGGGTATTATTAAAAAAATAAATATCTATAATATAATAAATTTTAGATTAAATATTAAAGAAAAAAATTTATAAAGTATTAAATATTAATAAATTTACAAATTTTAATAATGTAAATTATTAAATAATCTGATTAAATATATATTTTAAATAAAATATTCTGTAACTATAATATTAAATAATAATTATAATAATAAATATATATACCTATAATAGTATTATTATTATTAATTTTTGTTTTCATAAAAACAAAAATTATTTAAAAAAAACTTTGATAGACTTTCTAAATACGGATTCTTCTTTAAATTTTTCATTGCTTAAAAAATTAAAAAATAATTATTAAAAATATGTTATTAAATAAAATATTCTAATAATTAATATATATATATATTTATAAAAAAAACAATAATAATAATAATTACCTTAATTTAGTATTGAAAAAGTTTGAATAGAATTCATGTTTATCAAGTTTTTTGAGAATTTGATGATAATTTTTTGTATTTTTTAACAAAAATCTGTAATCAAACATACATTGATGATATAATTTATTGATAATCTGTGTACTAGTAGGTCGATTAGATGGTAGTAAATTTGTCATCAATATTAATAAATCCAGTAATTTGTTGATATAATTATTAATAGATTTTTTACTATAAATATTTAGATTGCTAATCAATAAATAAAATTTAAAAAAAAGTTAGTTATATTAATAGAAAATTTTTAAATATTTATTCACAATTTAAATAATAATAAAAAAAATAATACATTACTCTAAATTAATATTAAACAATTCCAATCCAATAATACCTAAGCTATAGATATCAAATTTTTCGTTATATGACCGACCATTTCGTTCATGGGGTGCATAATATTTTGTACCCATTTTTGATGTATGACTATCTGATTGTCTATCTGTACGGTTGTGATCCTTTGCAAAGCCAAAGTCACATAATTTTATAAAACGATTAGCAATTGAATAATTATTAATTAGTATATTTGCCGGTTTTAGATCGCGATGAATAACCGGCGGTTGTCTTGTATGCAGATATTCAACGCATTCACACATCTCTAACATTATATGACTGGATATGTAATACTCCATACTATCGATCGGTTCATTTGATTTTCTTTCAAATATTTTTGTCTTCAATTCAATTAAATCTTTAAGACTTTGTGAACATAACTCCATTTGAATGTAAAGATAATTATTATTTGATTCAATCCACGAATGATAACATTTGACAACAAATTTTGATTGAAGTTTAATGAGTTGTTTGATTTCATTTTCATAGTAATGTTTTTGATAATCATCTAAATTGTTAAAAAATAAAATATTTATTAATTTTAATAAAAAAAACCAAAAAAATATTACCATTTATATTGATTTGTTTAATAGCAAACCATTCATTATTTAATTTATTATCAATAGCTTTAAATACTTGACCATAACTTCCCTTTTCTAACATACTTATCGATGAAAAACTGTTTAGAAATGTTTTATTTTTACTATTAGTTACAATTAAATTGGTTTTATATAAATCCAAATCAATTGTTTCATAAGTTTTATTATGTTTTTTGGCATATATTTCAAAAAATGATTTATAACAACATTCTTTTAATTCAATTAATTTAGTTTTATATTCAAAAGTAATTTCATAATAGCAATAGTTGTCATCTATTTTAATATACGGACCGCACATATCACTGACTAATTTGTTAATATTTGTTAATTTTGTTGGCATTTCATTTCGTCCGCATTTATATAAAAATCCATCAGTTGTTAGAAATAATATAAAACTTTCAGAAAAACTCAGTAATTTTATATTTTTCAAATTACTAATGATTTCTGGTCTATATTTATGACCCAATTTATTATTGCTATTATAACCCCAACGGTTTACGTGTCCATCACTAGTTATGGCAAATGAATACCAATCGTATGAATAAATTGATTTAATGACAGTATTTGTTGAAAATATACAACGAGTCGGTCTATCTATGTATTCAGTTTGTTGTCCGCAACCGCACTGTCCTAAACTGTTATCACCCCATCCATAGACAGTCCCAGCACTGGTCAGTGCCAGTAAGTGTTGCGAACCACTAGTAATATCAATAATACATTTATCGCTGAGGAATGTAATGATCGCTGGTTTGCTGTACTTATCACTGGTATGTCTACCCAATTGTTTTCTATCATTGAAACCCCAGCTATATATTTGTTGGTCACTAGTTATACAAAATCCAAAACCAATTCCGATAATAAATTTGTTAACCATTTTGTCAGACAATTCAGGTATAACTTGTGGTTCATTGACATCCCTTTTGTGGCCCAAACCAAGTATACCCCACTTATTAATACCCAATGTATAAACGCGATCAGTATTTGTAACAAACCATACATTATTGCCGTTACAATGAAATAGTTTTATATCACTTTTTAAATTTTCTGGTATTTTAGTAAACAATAAAAATTTATTTAACAAATCAATTTCAGCCATATTTTTATGCAACTGAAAATAACTATAATAGAGTATATAATCAGTGATTTATAATTTTTAATTATTAATTACATGATTGAAAAATATAACTAAATAAACTAGAAACATTTTTATAAATAATAAAATGGCGTTTAATAATTAATAAAATAATAATAATAATATAAATTAATTGATTTATCTATTATTAAATGATATTAACCATAGAAATTATAATATTATTTTTTAGTAATAATTAATTACCGATAAGTATTAATGAAAAAAAAACTTAATAAAAATGTTTTATTAGATAAGTTTTATCTATAATTAAAACTTATTAAAAGTTATATATTAGTAGACTATCTATTATTATTATTAATATTGAATATATATTATTATTAAAAAAAATATTAAACAATTATCTATACAATAATAAATGAATTTACTAATAGTCTAAAACTGTATCTAAGTTATATTAAGTCATACTTTTTAATTAAAAAAAAATTTTTTTATAGCAATATAATAATGATAAAAATAATACTAATTACAAATTGCTATCTTTAAATATATTATTAATAAATGGCATTAATCAGTTATCTTAAAGTATAGCAATTAAGTAAAATAATAATATATATAATAATTAAAAAATAAAAATCAAGTAAAAATAAAGTTTATTTAATTATTTAATTATTATTTTTTAAAATATATTTATTTTGTTTTTGTTTTATTACTTTATAAAACAAAAATATTTTTTTGTTGTGATTTATTTTTATTAAATAATATAAATAAATCAAAAAATTAATAATAATAATGTCTTCAATAAATTATTTAAACAAATTTCCAATTTGTAATACAATATCTATAGATTATAAATATGTTATAAAATTATTTCATTCAAACTATTTTAGTGTATGGTTTGTAACACAGGATGATCTGGTCTATGGTTTGGGTGATAATACCAATGGTATACTAGGGTTGGGTCATAACCAGAAAATCATTGACAACAATAACAACAATAATAATAACAAACCGGAAATTATACGGGAATTGTGTCGGAAAAATGTCCGAAAATTTCAAATCGGATTAGATTTTGGTCTGTGTTTGACAAGTGATGGACATATATATAGTTGGGGTCGAAATCTATATAAACAATTGGGTAGACATACCAACAGTGATCAGTATAGTAAACCAGCGATCATTACATCCCTAACCGATAAACTAATTATTGATATTAAGTGCGGTCGGTATCATTCACTGGCCCTTTCAAGTGATGGCCAGATCTATGGTTGGGGTTATAATAAATGGGCGGAAATTGGTTGCGGTGGTAGTGGACAGCAAACTAATGCCGATTGTTGTATTGATAGTCCCGTACGGGTATTAATACCCGAAACTATTGAAATTAAATCCATATATTCACACTATAAGTGCTCGTTTGCCGTAACCAGTGATGGACGGGTATATAGTTGGGGCGATAATCAATGCAATCAATTAGGACATCCAATACCAGAAAAAATTTTCGTACCTAAACTTATTGATAATTTATTAGTAGATATTAAATCAATTTCATGTAATTATTATAAACCCGTAACTTATTTCCTATCGAGTGATGGCTATGTATATCAATGCGGAAAATTCAATCAATTATTATATGAAATACCTGTACTTTTAGTGATTTGTTGTTCAATTGATGATATTTGTGGTCATTATATTAGAAAAAAATTTAATGAAAATTATTATGAAATCACTAATGATTTAAATACTATTGAAAATAATAATAATTTTCAATTGAAAATATGTTTAGAAAAATCCTATGAAGATATATATGCAAACAAATTTTGTATAACATATCAGACAATTGATATAAAAAATTATCTAAAAAATTATTGGGAAATAATTACTAAAAAAAATTATTTCGAAAATACGTTCAATCAATCAGTACTGTTAGGTTCGGGAGGTTTCGGCAGAGTTTATAAATGTTTAGACAATGAAACCCATGAAG